AATCGAAACTGACGACCTTACCTAAATCGCCTTGTGTTTAATAACTTCGCCTGATGCACGACAGCTCCTTTGGCAATATATATTCATTTCCTCTATTTCATTATCTACATTCGAGCGTCTAAGAATTCGTTGTCCAGACGATTGTTGGGGATTTTCCTAATTTCACCACCGCTCGTGAAGTTCGTAGCGTTGCATGCTGAGCTACTCACGAAGAGGACCAGCTGATCGGTTGGTCAAGTGACTGAGACAGTTCAAAGCTGTTCCGATGGTCGGGTAGCCTATTGTGAGACGTTCCGGGGACGCCTTTTAGGATGTTGGGCAAAGCCAGTCGCTGGTATTGCCCAACCTAGTACAAAGAAATGGAAAACGTGATGAGAGCTGCTGACCTGCCATGAGGAATAGCAGTTTAAACTTGTCATTTTGATGCCAGGTTCTCCATATGAGAGTAACTAAGGTTATTACAACCTAAGCCCACCTGCCGTTAGGCAAGTGGACCTTGGCATGGCATGCTTTCAATCACTGAAGCTCGACTGTCATTCTAAACATACGTTTATACGCGCGAGCGTACATTAGGTAAGGCAGCCACAATGTCGAAGAAGGTTACGTGAACGTGCTCCATACAACAGCAATAAAACATTTTCACTTTTGCCATTTATCTACAAATAGTAGCAATAGTGGATACTGTTCAAACATACCAAAGGCCGTTACTGGAGAAAGCATTCAAGCAATACGCTTGCACGAAAAGTTAGTATGTGGTTTAAAGAAAGTATGTGGGCCTATTTCTTCTAGGCAATTATTTCAAGGATGGTCCTCTAGGCTGCTTCCGTGAGCAAATGGAGCACAAGTACATAACGTTCATGACAATGTTCATATGTGCATTGATAGGCACGATGAGCCTATGGAACACAATCGCCTAAACTAAATACGTCTGTAGAATAATATCAATCCAGTACTGTCGATGATAGATAGACTAGATTAGCAGAAATACACTATGTTGAATAAGAGCCACGCCAGCTTCTTGATTTAATCATATCATCTGATATCGAAGGCCACGAATGGTAAAAGTCACAATAGTGAACTTGGCGGCGTCAGACTGCATCGAGTGCTCGAAGGGCGCCGAGAGTCGATATATCCTGCAAGCCCGAATCGACAATCAAGCCTGTTGGGACTTCGAGGGTTATCTGGCACTTTGCTTGTGAAGAGGATCTAGGCGGGATAAGGGTAAGTAGAATTCGTGGAGCTTCTGGTTAGAAATTTAATCAAAACGCTGTCGGCTGGAGCGTTACTGACAACTACGCCAAAGGCATCCATAGTGCTACTGCTGGCAAAGGATTGAAAAAAACAAGGCGGCGGAGTTAGAATCCCCCTGAGCCCCCACATACGCAGAATTATTGTTTTCCCTAGAAGCCCGAACACCATCATTCTCCGATGTTGTGAGGATTGATGTGTACGGAACCGTATGTTGTAACGGAGCAACGAAGCGTTTCGAAGCGAACTTAATGCAATCGACCAACCCTCGATATGAACCCCTTGAAAGACCCCTCGACGTACTTCACCGTACTGCTGGCTGTCAATATTTTTTTGATTATGAAACCCGATAGATAAGTCTCTCAACCAGCGCACTCTGGCAGTTTGCCCGTGCATTTGATCAGCACTCCTCCCTTTGCCAAGGCGTTCATCGGAAAAAGCAATTGCACATTTAGACAGAGAAATTTATAAGAAGGCACAGTAGCACACAACTGGGCCAGCGTAAGCTGGCTTTTTTTTTTATCCTTATATCTTCAACATCTCACCTCATTATGGGCTCATTCCAACACTGCATAAATACTACATAAAGATCAGTCATCTATAAATTCAATATACGAATCCAACGCTATAACAAATGTTTGGACACGTTTCAAGGATGACATTGTAGCCAACAGATATAGGCACACAGACAGAAGGGAAGCTGATGTGGCTTGTTAAATCCACCTCTTGCCCTTTTTTCTCTACGAACAGAAACAGCCTTGTTATTCTTGGCTACAGGGGGCATATACCCTGTGTGTGCAAGCTAACTGTGAATGCGTTACAACAAAATTTACTAATTCATGGGGAACCAAATAAACAACCTCCATTCTAGGAAAGCTAAATTCTCTATTGCATAGGGCAGGTTTGTAATTAATTAAAACACGTTTTTACTACATTAGTATATTGAATATCTGGGTGAATTGTCGTACCGTGTCGCATAACCGAGCCGTCGTCACAAATCCAAGATAATAGACTCTTTTTCATTATAAATATTTCATCTTTTTATTGTTCCAACGAATGACAGGAAACGTTGGTGTATTTAATAGCTGGCTCAATTTTCCCCAACGAAGATTCTCTCTGTTGTTTAGCTAAGCCTAAACCCTACGATATTCACAGACGTATGCCTAATACATTTATCGATTTCTAAAAAAAAAAAAAAGAAAAAAAAAAAAATGCACAATATAACATAATATTCATGAAATAGAAAACTTGGTATCATCAGTTTGACCACACTGTATGTCAGTGGCTCACAGCTGCGCGCTTCTATCTAGAATAATAATCGGCAACGCGAAGATGTCCGCCATTTAAAACGGTCGATCTTGAACGATGCTCGCGTGCAAATGTTTTCGTTGACAGCACGTTTGTCCTGCCGCGTTCCGTCCACAGATAATTCGCATGTAATCTCCCCTCTCACCCATATCTTTTCGTTCGTTGCCTATCTATGGACGCTCCATATGTAAATGGCGTACACTATTACGCGACTCTTCGCAGCAGTGCGCCTATCGCTCCTGTGCCAACGTACGTGGAATCATCAATCAATCAGACTGCAAAACATATATATATATAACAGCAGCCGTAGACGAGCCGTCCCCATACAGAGAGCAATTCTATTATAATTAATAGTATCATGTATAGTACGTGTTATAAGAAATACGGTAAACAAAAAACGCTGTCTGGACTTGACTTGTTTCTCATCAATTAACGATCGTACCATGGCTATTTTGAAGATGCGCGCGCTTTCTTTTGATTACGCTACAACTCGTATGAGTGAAATATGAATAAGCAAGTAGTACCAAAGCAAGATAGTGGCGATAATAATAGAATTAGTATATTTGAGTAGGAAGATATTCGTTTCACTTCTCTAAATGGACAAACAAAAGCTGTAACTAAGAGAGATTAACTATGCAGCCCCCACCAACGGGATCGTGTGTACTTATCGAATGTTCCAAGTTGCACCAGCGGGGGCTGTGAACAACGGTGCGGACATCGGCGTTGCTGATTTAGTTTACCGTTTGCTGCTTCGAGGGAACTTGTCATAGCCATCTCTGACTACTGCGTGTTACTATGGCTGCTAGCGGATCCGTTCGCGTCCAGAAAGGTTGGATACAACAAAGACACTCCGCTCGTGTTATATAGCTCGGCTTGAAGTCAGCGAAAGAGAAGCCTGATGGAATGGGAATAGAAGCTCACGCCACTGAGCTGTCGACCAGGAGATAGATTGAACAACGAACGACTGCTCTTAAGAACTGAAGACTGCAACGAAGACCTAAGCTGGCGTCGCCTGAGGGGCGCCTCAAAAGGCTGGCTTCGCTCATTTTGGCTTTTCGAAAGCACGTTGTCGTTCGGCTGTGGCCGCTCGTTTAGTTTGCCGGTTAGCCTGACGTGCAGGCAGCCGAGGAAGATGCCTAGGCTGTCGAAAAAGACCCATACCGAGCACTCGCTCAGAAAAAATAAGACGACAAGAAGAAGAAGAAGAAGAAGAAGAAGTAGACGAAAATATCGGAGGGCCAAGCTGAAGAAACAGCCATGGCGACGCAGGGTAGCAATGGTTGCTAAGGCGACGACGATCGTCGGGGTAGCTTGGTGCTGTCCTTCGTTCAACCGCACACATACAGATATACTGGAGGACTTAAAACGTCCAACGAATAGACGGAAAGAAGCAGTATCCTACACTCGGACTGGGTACAGCATGAATGGATGGAATATAAATAGCAAATAAAAGCAACACCAGCTTCAGGACTTGAACAGATTTCACTATCCGCTCAATTTGTTCTTTACATTCTTGTTACCTTATCATCGTTCGTATTATTCTACTGCTACGTGTGCGAATGTCGATTACATTATGCAGTTACGTGCGGGGAAGAAAGGGCGGTATTTTTGAAACAGGAAAAGACTATTATAGCGACATTTTTAAAGCCGGAAGATGGCGGTCCTTTTTACACTGTCTCAATGATATACAATTTGAGAGAATATACTCAGGCTGAATAATATAAAGCCGACCTTGAAGAGTCAAATAGAAAACATGTTAGAACCGCGACTTGACGCCACACACACGAAACCATCAAATAAAGAAACACCAATCAGAAATGCTACATAGCAAGACAGAAGATTACACTTACCAAATGTATGATGGCATTCAGCTCCGGCTACCGGCCGACATTGGCTTTCAGCACCATATGCGTGTTAGCGTACGGATGTGTGAATTAATATATATATATACATATATACATACACACATATATATATATGTATGTATATATTTATATCCTTTATGGTGTAAAAGCAGAACAAAAAAGAAGGAATATCCTGAGCATGAAACAATCCAGCGACCAACTCCGTAACTTCTGTGTGAACTTTGAACGCATCACAATTGGCCTCCACAAGAGAGGTGGATGGATACTTGACAAACGGGTATTTGATAACACCCCCATTTCTTCTGCTTGTCAGATTGGCACAATACGAGCACTCTTTTTTGGTATTAAAAAGGCCGTTGATGGAAAAATTATGGTAAGGTATGGATGAGTAGGCCATCGCTCTGTCGATTGTTGGCCGTCGTCTTCGACCTGGTTTCCGAATGGCCCAGTGAACAATTTATACACCGGTTCGACTGGGCTTTTCTTCGTCAACACTACAGGTCCGGTAGGCACTAGTTAGTACACCCGGAGTGTACCTATACGTCTAGACATGGGACGAGACGAAAACACCTGCATTACCTTTTTTGGCCGCATAGGTCCGCGACACCGACGTACTGCAAGCGAGCAGCAAGATTAAAGCTGGTAATAGTTCGGTTACCGGCCGGCGTGTCATACTTGGCGCTGCCGGCGGGTACGTTGTAGGCTTTAGTTATCCACGCGTGAAATCTGTACTTGTCGTAGTAGGATCGTTATCTGTTGTGGGCGTCGAAAACTTTCTGTCCTCAGCGTAATCACACACTCTCTCTCTCTCTCTCTCTCTATAGATATAGGTATTATCTTGCGTTATCCATAGAAATAATTATGGTAGTGGTGGTGGTGGTGGTGATGATGATGATTACTATTTTTGGTCACCAACGAACCAGCACTTTTGTTGTCTCACGATCTCACATGAAGAACACCGGATATGATTGTTGAAACACGTTAAATCGTCTTCTTGTCGCAGGTGTAGGAAACCCGGACAACTCTGCTTCGTTTCATCAATCCTTACGTAAGTAACGAACAATCGCACATTGTACCACTGCTATCCACTTTCGCTCCCACAAGGTAAAACAAACACGATCAGATCAGAATGCGGCGGCCGCTCAAGATCCACTTGGCTTTTCTTTCTTCGTTTTGACACTTAACAGAGACGACGCGACGCTCGATATCAAAAAACTAGAATCCTTAATATTCTCATCATCAGCACCGTCATCATTATCATCATCATCATCATCATCATCATCAAACGTTACCAATCGTCCGTACGTCGATCCGCAGTCTCCATTGTCACGCGTCAGCGTGTCTACTGGACACAGCTGCAGCCATCGTTGGGCTCCTTTTGTTGCTGCTGCTGAAGGTGATGGTAATGATGATGACGACGCAAATGGTTGCCACTTTCACTATTGCCGTTGCTGCTATTACTGTCGCAATTGTGATAGCGGCAATGATAATCGGGCCGATAACAACAGGCGGCGTCGCTGCACAGCACGGCTAACAGCCAGACCATGGCTTTCCACGTTTTAACGCCGACTTTTCGATTTATTATTATTGCTTATACCATAGCGGTTAGTCGTTGTCGTGAGACGCACACACATCAACTGGTAACGATCCAACAAAACCCAACCCGAGTAAACTAAATAGAACTAGAGAGGAAATAGCACAGACACAGGCCTGTGCCTAGCTGGCCGCAGCACACAGCGCGCGCGTTCGTCGCCCGACTGGAGGACTCGCTCCGGGCTTGCTGTGATCGCGCCTAAATTTAGGAGAGGGCCGTCAGGAGCAAACTGCGCGATCCCGACGCCACCTAGTGGAGATGTGGGTAAACAGCGGCGCGCCAGAATGGACGGATACAGCGAGGGGTAACGGTGCAGAGAGGGTTAGTTTTCTACTAACAAATGCACGTAGCAAGCAATAAGGAGACACTAGCACGATTATTGCTTGAGGAGGCTCTGGCAAAAGAAGCTGACCATTACCTTGGTCAATGGCAGTTTGCCGACAGGATGTTAAGTAGCTTGCCGATCTAACTAATACGAGCAGAGTCTGCTGGTATACGTGATAGTCAGATAACTGTATGGGGTAGTTTGGAGGTTCTAGATGCCTCTGAAGCGAGACAGAAAACGGTCGTGTGAAAACGGTATGCAACAGATCTAGTATCCCTGGCGCGATGATAAAAGGGAACGAACATTTCGGTGATGGTATTTCTTGTATGGAGAATATTGCACTGGATTAGAAGAATTGACCGTTACAGATAAGACACAGAAGATTACGTCAATTAAATGTTTCATTTAATTAAATTCTTATTTGCCCGATGGGCACGACATCTGCAGGAAAAAGCATAGTCCGCTGCATGGAGCTAAAGATGCTGTCTAAAACATGCCATTTTAAGAGTGATCGATCTTGGTAGGTTTACACTGAAATAAATTTTGCTGTTTTAATATATTTCAAGGCGTTTTCTCTATTTGAGGCACGAATATAACTCGGCTGGAAGCCATCCCATATATTTATAATACACATGGCAGGGCCTTTCTAGTGAAGTATCGCAGCAGGTCAAAGTGCGTGCGATCAAACTGAACCTATTCTGGAACACACAGGGCGCGTCTTAAATGGTAGAAATTTTTTTCGACTGAAAGGCTGGCACCATCTGACACGCTCTCCTGCATAGTCTATCATGTGAAGCCGTCATAGATTGAAAGAGTCTCAAGTACTGCGTTTGTAAAAAAGATCACTTGGATGTCTCTTGGCTTTGCGACCCTAGAACAAGCTCGCTCACTTATTATACGCTTACCTGCTTAAATTCGTACTTTTACATAAATATTCCCAAATCGAGAAAAACTTCTAATTCAATTTGCACAAACGATCAAAGATGCAGACTTGTCTTCCCGAAACTTGTTGTGGCACCCACGTATGTTAAAGCTATAATATAGATAAAACAATTCTATAGAACCAGGAGCTAAAGCCAGCTCGTAGCAGCAGCGTATCGTTCGTATCATGAACGTAGTAAATGTTATTAAACAAAGAGATAGATGATCCTGATATCAGGCACCGAATGAGCTACAACGCACCAAATACCGTAATTGCATATGTTTGAAAACCTTGCACAAATCAAAATACTTTTATAGCTAGCAAGCATTCTTATATGAGTCATGTTCGTTTGTCCTTTTTCGTTAACTAATTGTCATTTACACATAAAACGTATTTGGCATACGTCGTGTTTAATGACGGCCATTTCTGCTAGCTCTAATAGACAGCATATTGATACTGTACAATGTTCTGAACATGAGCTCATTTGAATAGAGTGTCATTGTCGAAAAGTGCGAAAGCGCTGCGCGAACTTTAATTCTCCTGCGTCCCATCTTCGATTTGAAATAAAATCAGTCGACGTGACGTCCAGACAATGTCCTAATACTGACTGATTGAAATTTGCGCCATGCTAACACAATGATACAAGCTCCGACGTTAAGCCCTTGAAGAATATAGCGGTAGTTGATGTAAGCAACTTATCTACTCTAAGTTATTGTTAGAATATTATTCAGTTTTACATTATTATGCCTGGTGATTTTTAGCGCATGACTTATTGTGCACGCGATAATTGGTACGTTCGCCCGCAAGAGCTACAGAACCGGCCTATGGGAGGTTTTGTTAAAGCCAGAGTCATTCCGTGTGTTGTTTCGTTAATATATAATTAGATCAGAGCAAATGCTTCAGTAGGAGCGTCTGACCCCGCGTCTGACAACGCTCGATCATGGCCAAACGATATGGTAGACTCAATAATGGGCGAGTCCCAGTAGCGAAGTGTTCCAATAAGCTGTTTGTTATGTGTCAAGCAGTCAATCACTAGCTTCAATTTTGTCTCTAGGTGACCTCAGAGAAACTGTAATAGCCTAAGATTCAGTGGTTCCAAGCTAGTTTTTTCTCCATTTCCTAGAGTCAGAAATGGGAAACACAACAACTTTCGATAGCCTTTATTCGTGGAAGCGGGAAATTGTTTAACATTTCCGTATAAAAGAGAGAGGTCAGAAAAACATGCGCGTATACATGCGCGACAAAGTTAAATAGAGTCACAGAAGCTATTGGAGGATTTTCAGCGGTTGTTCGAGCTCAGCGCTCAATTGTGATAGTTGTGCTAAAATTGCGCCCGAAATCGGTCTCCGTACTCGAAACCTCGTCAAGAGAGCGAAAAACGGCCAGGATATTTGCGATTTTTTTCCCGCGATTCGTCACTATGTCAGACTGCATAAGCGGATAAACGCATGGATAGAGGCGGTATCAGACGTAGAAGTTACTTCAATTATGGACGAGCTATACCGTTGAATAGCAACAATACAACAGTATACGTCGATGGATTGCCGTTTCAAAAGGCGCAAATGACCCCAGGTATGCCGTACGGCAAAATAAACAAGCATGCCAGCCCCTTGACCCTTTGCAAGCCATCAAGAGGCTGAATGGTCCAGAACATTGACAATGCGTTTATGCCGTTACTCTATCGGGTGGGAAGATTCAATACGACAAATCTATTTTGACATATTCCCTTATCTGGCGCTCGCCGACAGCACCTACTGCAGTGCAGTTTTTTCAGTTGGATATACATGGCCATTCAGGCGTTTGTTTCTCTCTGTTAAACGTGCGGCGTAAAAATGCAACACTTTCAACCAATGTAAAACTTAAGCAATATGACCTTTCCTGAACACTCCAACGTAATAGAGAGTGTATCACAAGAGCGGCAGTCATCATACTTTAGTTTCATTCATTGCTCATGCGGTAATCCTCGCCTTTATACAGATGTCAATGGCCTATTAGGACATACATTAGGCCAAATAGATATTAATGGTGTATGCTATCAAAATTATTTTACGCTATTGTTGACGCTAGCATCATGATCGCAAGCAGCAAAAGAAAAGCAGAATACTAGCTAATCTAAGGACTGCTATCTATCATACTCTCTAGTAGCCTATAATGATTCAATGATTCGGCCATTACGAATACGATAAAATGTTTTTTTTACGAGAAAGGACTTCGCTTCTGGTCAGAGACTAACGACTAGTGGCCAGACACCTTAATTGTATATGAACTACCATTTGCTAATTGTTGGCCGTAACACATATAGACGTTCTATGTGACGTAGATAATATGGGACATCGTCAATTTATATGACGAAGAGCTAGCGTGCTAGCGTTTTCCATCGATAATGATTAACAAGGGAACAACCGCACTTCAACGACAAAGTGCTCATTTGCTGAGGTCGCGTCATGTGACGCAGTAATATGACTGGGCCGACTTACAGGTCCCGAGCTAAATAGAACGAAAGTAAGACGCACTGAATCAGAATAATAACGTGCGCCTCTTTTGCGTTTCAACCTATTTGAAAAATGGCTCTCTTCATAGTATGAAGCAGATGGCATAAATGTTCTAGGGAATCATGGGCTTACTAACGCTCTTCTGATGCACTACAGGCTTTCGCACAAAAGTAAACACGGTGCGATTGCTAATCAAAGTTTATGTGTGTATAGAACTTTGAAGTGAACTAGTAGTCCATCGTTTTCCGGGTAACGCTCATTAAGACTGTAGTATTTGTGTCAAACGATTTCCTGCATTAGCCTACACGAAAGCGACATCCAACTATAAGAATTGATCTTGTAGTTTTATGTTGTACGTACATTCGTGAGCTGAATCGAATACTTTAGCTATTCATCAAATATCGATGATCCTAACGCTTATGTGAGCCCAGTCAACGGTCTATAATTTCTCTAAAAAAGTTTTAAAGGCGCGTGCAAATAGCGAATATATAGAAAGTTTTCCATGCGTGAAAAACGTGTATTTGACTAGGGCGGCTTCAATGCCATATGAAGAATACCTTCAATACAAAAGCCAGCGTTCTGGCTTCGCTTGCCTTCAGTGAGCTACAACGGTAGAGTAAAAGTGTTCTGCAAGGACTAGACATTTATCGTACGTGTTTGGCTGGCTTACTTCGCCTTTGGGAGCAATCCACACGAGGAAATGTATCTTCAATTTCGATCCGTTTATCCTCCGGAAGGGATTTGTATTTAGATTGCATTAGCAAATGTTGTCAACACGAGCCAACGGAGGCTTGTTGCAGTCTCCAAAGAACTCTTTGAACATTACGGTTTGGCACGCTGCTGTTCACTTCCATGATACCCGGATGTAGCATCCTTTTTTGCTTGAATCTCCAACTTCCAATTGACGCTCTCTAAACTGAATTTTCACAGAAATTTATTTGCGATACGAGATATTATCAGGCCGCACTTATACGTTTTTGAAAAAGCGCTAAACACTATGTGCGGGTGCCATGGCGACGGAAGCGCCCCCATGTACGACAATGGCGCCGGTGCAGTGCAGCGGTTGAATTGGGACCGTTTTCCAGCCAAAGTTCTCATCAGACCGTAACGTGTCATCCATAAATTGAAGTGAGCTAAGGTTTGCCAAACCACGAATATGTAACTGTTGAATTATCGACAGGGCACCGTTTCTGCTTCTCAACGCAGTACTACTTATTAATGTCAGCTTCCTTAGAAGACTGTTAATTTATCACTTATAACGCCGGCTAATTCATGGCGGAAACGTCTATGCCATGAGCATTGTTGCTGACCTTAGCGTATTCAAAAAACGTCTAGTCGTAAAGTTGAAAATCACATGGTCTAGGATATTTAAGTCTAACGCGAGTTCCGAAA